AAAAAATAAGCGAAAACACCAGGCAACCAACAACCGCGCCATCACACACACACCATCTCTCTTTCTCACACCATTTTTCTCTTTCTAATCTTCATAATCCACGCCCGAGCCACAGGAAGAACAGCTGTGACCTTCCTCTCTCCCCTCCGCCCCTGCAGGTGTGGCAATTCGCCCCTTTAGATAAGCGAGATAAGATAAGGAAGGGGTTGATAAGTGTCATTAAAGATATAATGTGGCGGTAGTCCCAAGGCTCGTTACGGACTACCCGATGGCGAGTCGATATGCGCTTCGATTTGCGATCTGCAGAGCGACTCTCCCCGCTCGAGCGCTTGGCCGGGCGAGGCGCGAAAGGGGTCGGTTTCTCTCTCTCTTTATTGGAGGTTTTTTAGCTTTATTTTTCTTACTTTCTTTTTTACTTTTTTGTTTTGTTTTTCTTAGTTTTTCTCTTTTTTCTTTGTTTTTCTTTGTTTTTTATATTTTTTCTTTGTTTTTCTTTGTTTTTTTTAAATCGTTTTTCTTTGTTTTTGTTTGTCTTATTTTTTTTCGGTTTTTTGTTTCTTTGTCTTTCTTTATTTTTATATTTCTTTTTCTCTTATTTTTTTGTATTTCTCTTTCTCTTTATTTTTATACTTCTCTTTCTCTTTTTTTCTTTTTCTTTCTCTCGCTCACTTTCTGTGTTTATTTCTTTCTCTCCTTCTCTCTTTCTCTGAGAGAGAAAGAGAGAAGGAGAGAAACAGGGAGAAATAAAGACATACATAGCATGGGATACAAAAGAAATAAGTAAAAATACGATTTTTTCCCGCCAAAAAATATCGAAAATGAAACAACAGAGAAGACACTTGTGGAAAATCTCAGACGAAGATTTTTAAAATTTATAATTATTATAAACATTTAAAACGTGATATTCATTGATTATAGTAATTTTTCTTTGTTTATCTTTATATCTGATTATCTATTAATTTGTAATTTACCTTATTATTTATTTATTATGAGACGATAGTTTGTGCGAATAAGGTGGGACTATTGTTCAGGGGATAGATAGATATATGTTAATTTGCATACGCCAGATATAAACATATAGATAGATAGATAAATGTTCATTTGTATCTACCAAACAAATACATATATTGATAGATAGATTGATGTTTATTTGCATCTGCCAGACTATGAACATATAAATAGATAGATAGATGTTTATTTGCATCTGCTAAACATATAAACATATAAATAGATAGATGTTTATATGCATCTGCTAGACATATAAATAGATAGATAGATGTTTCTTTACATTTGCTAAACATATAAATAGATAGATAGATGTTTCTTTACATTTGCTAAACATATAAATAGATAGATAGATGTTTATATGCATTTATATATATACAATTAGACAGATACGAATTATGGAAGTAGATCTTGGGGAATATCAACTTTATTCTCGGGAATTTATGAAATATAAGTAAGATTCCTGACCAAGACTGAGGCAAAGGGACAGGAGATTAGAAAAAGAAGGTTATTGAAAAATGATAAAAGTATAAATAAAAAAAAAGGTAGAAAGGTCAAGAAGAGGAGGGAGAAGGTAATGAAAAAGAAGTAGAAAAAAAGGAGGATGATTAGGAAAGGGAGAAGGGGAGGAGGAAAAGAGAGAACGTGATGATGATGGTGATGAAAGAGGAACGGGAAGAAGAGGAAAGCGCAGTAGGAGGAAAAGGAGAAGAAATGTTGAAAAAAAAAGGTTAGCGAGTAGAAGAGGGAGAAAAGAAAATGAAAATAATACTAGTAACAACAATAATAACGACAACTATTATGATACTAATCTAAGGGATCATAGCTATAACGATTATCATTACGGAGACAATTAATGAAAGTGATGTTTACAACAAGAAGAATTAAAAACGAAAAGCGAAAGGAAAAAGATAAATAAGACAAGAAAATAAACTACAAGAATCCATAAATTCTGATATCAAAAATCAACTAAAACACGAATGAAAGATTAAACAACGATATTACAGAATCTGTCACATAAATCCAATCAGGCGAGCTCATGCAAATATCAAGGAGCATGAATATAAAAGATGAAACTGGACATCTGGCAAAAAACATTAATGGAACTGCCAAATGGCTTTCCTGCGATGTATTGTATTGCTTATTTAATTCTTTTTAAAAAAATAATCTTAAATCATCGATCAAGAGTTCGGATTCTGAAAAGGCTAAATGATTATATAACTGCTATAAATGATTTCTTTGTTTGATATTTTTGGCGGTTTTGGCGATCAGTGGGATACGAGTCTATTGAAAGATACATGAAATATTTTATCCTATAATATATTTTCGTTATATTTGGTTTAAGTAAATATTATGGTTTGTGACAGAGGTGGGAAATGACGAATACCAAAACAATGGGGCATCTTTTTGAGTGAAAATGAGACGACATACTCATATTTTGTTTTTCAAGACTGTGTCATCACATGCGCAAAAGCAGGTACATTGGAGCGTTTAA